CTCCAGCGGAGGATGGGAGAGTAAGGCGCAACGCAGCTGTACGAGCGAGGGAGAAGATTGCTGAGTGGACTCGGCAGCTGTTCGCCTTGCTGTAAGCCAAGCCGCCGCCGGGAGTGTCGCGTACGGTCGCGATTGACAGTTACTGGTGAGTGCCTCTATTCTTTCTGAACGGAATGTTAAAATAGCAACACAGAGGGAGAAATGGGGGGAATGATAATGTTTAAAAGGAAAGGAACGTTAGAGAGAAAAGAGGGAGATTAGTTTTGGAGAGTAGCAAAAAGGGTGAGAGGAGGTGTAGTTAGTGCGAAGCAGATGGTGAAGTGTTTTCTAATCTGGTGAGTGTTTGTACTAATAAAGAGATATGGTAATATTGAGATATAGATGAAAGGATTATTGTATCTTGCTGGAGGTTTGGGTTGATCTAAGGGGAAGGTGGAGGATCAACATGGGGCCTCAGGGCCCCAATCTTCTACGCGTCGCTCTTGGCAACAGGTGTGCCCGTCTGATGAGAGGATCCAACCACCATGTGGCTCTCGGGTTTACTTGTGGTGTCGGTCGAGGCACGCAGAAGGTTTAACGATAATTGTAGTATGCATTAGCGCAATTATAAATCCCTATATCTCTATGTTATCATATTATTAAGCATGAGACTTTGTCGCATATGAGAATTGACCTTACATTGAACCAAGGCTATCCGACATCATGACAAAACATGTAGGATATAAAACGTGGCGACAGGGAGGTCAGCGTAGTGAACGAGCAGGAGCTTAAATGTGACGTTTTCAAGTGTAAATTTATTTTACCTATGGAATAAATAATCTTTGACTTTGACTTTGACTTTGAGTCAAATATAATACAGATATTCAGACATTTACGTAACCTGACCTAAGATTGTATACACATAAAACAACAATATTTTTGTATGTAGGAAGAAATATATTAAATTCGAATAAGTTGTTGAGAAACACATATATTATAAATATTACATTTATGACTAGATATTACACTCCAAAAGAATACAAGGTAAGGTAAGACAAACCTCGTACAGCTGTTTGGTAATAAGACTGTAATGCGGTAAATATTATGTATCAGCGCAATCACAACAGTCGTTGAAAAGTTTGCATGCATAGTTAGGGAATAGGCGATTAGAACACCACGTATTACGTCTAGGTGAGTGGTGGGCATGACTGCATACCGAGGGTACCTTAAAGGAAAGTTAAGTGAAATCATACTCGTAATTACGGACGTTTAATTTTGAATCCGCATATGAAAACCGCCTTTTTACCATACCTACGGAGTACGACAACAACCAAACAAATTGTTTTAGCGCCCAATGTATTGTATCACCACCACATAATGCGGTAATCAAGGAGATATTATTTATTTTCTCCAAACACTTGAAAAATACTACATTACTTGTTTTCTTCACACCCTTAATCTATATCGGTTTATCTGGGTGCCGCATAATTCTCTTATAATCTTGATAAATACACAACAAAATAATAATTTCTTCCAGAGTACTAGTATAATAAATTTGTTAATATAACGCATGCGTGATGCTTTTTCTAAAAACTTATCATATGTTCCGTGAAACTAACCTGGCGTTCCATTGTCGACAATATTTAATTATTTCCCACACATTGTGTATTTTGAAGGTATGTCCCTTTATTTCTTAAGGAACTTATGTATACTTTTTTAATATTTCAACACACCTTCTTATCGACAAATCATTTATACAATATGTCAAGGTCAAACAGGAGGACAAATATGTCACAGTAATTTATTATTACTCAATTATTCTACAAAATTAATAATAAACGAAATCGGTAATGAACCATCGCGGAATGACATTAATAAAAATATTAAACAATAGCGGTCCCAGATTAAGTCCTTGAAAAACTTTGAAGTTATATTTTGTACTGACAACGATGGGCTATTGACGACCATAAATAAGGGTCTATCAGCCAAATATGCATAAATCGAAGTAGTGGCCACGATATGCCATAGATAGCTAATATCTGTAGTAAAATTTGGTGGAATTTCCTTTTCTATTTCAGCCGTCAAACAGAATGTGAGCACACTGTTTTCGGTTTTGAAGGGTTAAGGGTGCTAGTGAAATTACAGGCACATGGAACTTGTCAACTTATATCTCAGGGTGACAGGTGCAATGGCAGTGTCCCTCAGACCTTTTATCAATTCTGCAATCCCCTTTCCATCGTTGGGGCGTTAGACAGCAGAAATAGACTGGGGTTACAGTTATGAATATGTCCAAAATGTGGTTAGTATTGTGGAAATTTGTAATTAGGATCTGAAAGTGATTAACGAAATAGACCCACCATCATGTCAAAAAGTGATTAAAAACTTTATTGAAAGAATCGACATCTGTAACTGTGATCTTGGTGGACATTTATCTGATATCATTATTCATTCATAATTGCCAAACCTTACTTTTTGTAATAAAATAAAAATTTGAATCATTGCCATCTAAATTTATTGTTTTATTTTGATTTTCAAAACAAAGTTCTTGATCAAAAACCCTATATTAATAGTTAAAAATTTGCTGTAAATCTTCCAAAGGTAGATAAATAAAATTCGCACAAAATGTTACGTTTCCACATTTACATGGCGTACGGCATTGGAGTGGAATTCCCTGCCTGCAAATTTGTTCCCTGAACGCTAACTTGGGCAATTTCAAGGCGAGAATGTATATATACAAAGGTGTTATGCTCGATCGTCGACGGCACTTTTCATCAGGTGATAAAATTCACTGTTCTCTTAGTAAAAATATAAAAACACCCAAATAAATTATATTCAATTACTTTTTGTGAAATTGTTCCACTAATTTGTTATAATTATTGCGAACACTCAGAAAAAAATTCCTTCGATCCGGCCGGATTCGAACCTACGTCTTCTAGCTTACCGTGGCAGACGCTATTTCAATAAGTTATCACGTTTCAGACGCAGGTTTCAAACTCATGTATGCTTTAATGAGATCCTGGAACTCAAAACTTCGTTTGTAATATACAGAGGCATTATTAATGCATCTCGAAAGCGACTTTAGCCTTCAAACGAGATAGATATTCGGGGTGAAATGCTCAAGCAACTTGGTGAAACATAATATATACTCTACTCGCCGTATCGATAGTAGAACGATGACATGATGATGTATCTAACCTAAATTCAGAAGAACAACGAACTATGTATAAACATATTTTATATGTGCAACTTAGTGCGTAATCACATGAGCTGCATTTCAACTGCAGTTCAAACGCTACTTTGCGGTTGCTTTGCATGTGCACTCGCACATACTATTTGTTGTTGTAATACAACTGAGTGAGACGAAGTAGAACTAAACGTTTATAACAAAAAAAAAAAAGAGTACTTCTACCTTGATAATACGTGAAACATTAGAGCGTTACAACTTTACCTGTGACCACTGTCGTGCTGGTAAATGAGTAATATTATGTTACATGTAGGTACATAGAAGATACGCTAGTAAATGTATACGCCAATATATTCGAATAAATGTATAGTGCTAGGATGTATTATTTTCATAATTTCCTGCGTTAATTCAAGTGCACACGCAGCGAAATCACAATCATTCAAAATCTGAAATAATGTAGTATTGCAGATTTTATTATTAAATTAGTTTCGAATTAAGCTTATACACGATACACACACATGATTATTTTTTTTGGTTAATTTAATTTTCAAATTCAAATTATAAAATTGACCAAAAACATCGGCCATGTTAAAAAAAAATTAACAACCTGGTTTTCAGTAATTGGCTTACTTACACGTGTAATTAAAACGTGCTTGATCTGTAAATACTTTGAATGTGTGTATTTAAGATAAGGACGATTTATCATATAAGAAATTATATTTTACACATCTATTATTCTCAAATCACCCCATATAATGGAAAGTTTAAATTACTTATCTACAAGTAGAAGGCAAGTTTGGCGTCTGGCTCGTCGACGTCCCAAACAGCATGTTAAATTTATACGACGAAGTCAACATTCTAAGTTATACTACGTGCTAGTGTTTCCCACATGTGATGTTAGGTAAAGCAGGTTTTGCTTAAAAGTATGTATCATCTAGCAAATTTTTCGATCGGAAAATTACGTAAGCGGGCAAACTACATGATGAACTACACACTATTACATGTAAAAAAAATTGAAATTGGATTTTGATACTAATCTCCTTATCATAGCCATGTCTGACACGCACTTGGTCTATTCCTTTTTGTTATGTTTTTATAAATATTTTTAAATACCGTAACGAAATGTCCAAAAGTATTTATTTTTGTGAGAAAATATTTTTTTTGCCTTATTTCAAAATCCTAGCTCAATTATACTCGAGTTGTTTTTTGAATTAAAGTATTTTTTTTTATTGATACGTTGTGTAACTTATATTTTATTTATTACTACTTTTGTGGCCGCTGTTGTTTACTTTGAATTCAATACTACATATTAATTACAATCATAGCTTTATAATTATTCGAGTTCATTTAAATTTCATATTGTTAATTGCGTAAAAGCCTCCAAATCATTGACAAAAGTATTATTTATTTCTGCTGTATTATTCTTGCGAGTAACCGCTCGTTTCCATCGTCGCCTTAGAACCATAATTTTAACAAGGTCGTAAGAAAATACAATATTTATTTTAAAGCCCAGAGTAACTTACAATTTATGCGGTAAATAATGTATTAACATAAATACAATAACTAGGTACTAATGACTATTTTTGGATGCTTTGTGACGCTCAGGAATTGACAAAAGTAATTGAAGGGTAATTAATGAACTACTAATAAGGAAATCCATCTCAGTCGTAATTGGCCTTACATATTTTTACAGGCGTTTATAATTACACCCTTATACGTATAGAACAAACTCAATTAGGTGCCTACAGAACATTAAGTATTTATTCAAGCTTTTTCAAATTTTAGCTTATTTATCCATAAATAATGTTGAGACACTTCAATAAAAAAGTTCACTCACCCTTTTGCGCATTGCTCTGCAATATCCGCTGTATTTCACCGGCCTCTGAACCACTTTCAGACTCCGAGTAAATTGACCGACTTCCACCAATAGAATTAACACTTTTCTTCTGAGTCACAATCGCTACATTACCGTGAGCGCTCGAAGAGCGAACGGGCGGTTGCGGTGGAATTTTCTGAGATTCTTTTGATCCATTACCCTTTCTGAAAACGTCGTGGTATGCAGTTCGAATGTTTGTATTCACTGATTTTCTTGCATCTCTACTCACAACATCGATGGTGTTCCTGGCTTTCGCTGGATACTGTTCTTCGAAACTAACTCTTTTTGTTTGTTGAACAACATTTTGATTATCGCTTTGAGGTTCGCGAGGAAATGATTGTTGCTGCATGTTTGTCCTGGAACCGGGCGAAATCGTCCGTATAAACAGTTTTTCTGGGTGTCTATACACTATTGCTGGATCACCAGAGTAAATGTCAAAGTTACGTGGATTTACATTTGTATCAGTTCTTCTTTCTGGTGCTCCTCTAACAAACGGTGAATTTGACTGAACTGTTTGTTTCACGGTATAGGTATTTAAAGACTTTCCTCGCGGTAAACTGTGACTTTTATGTTCACCTACTAGAGAGTTTGGAGTGCTACAACTAGAATGGGTACGGGTAGTGTTATATCTGTCTGGGCTACTTATAAAAGTATTCATAGACTGCCTTAGGAAATATTCTTCCTCTTTTTCCTTTAATTCTTTTAGTTTTTGCCAGTAAAATATTTCAACTTTCTGGCGGGTCTTTTCTTTTTCTGCTTCTGCTAGTTTATGTTCCTTTACTGGACTCGATATTGTACCCTGAGTCTGGATTATATGACTACTCTCAATTCTAGGAGAGGATGGGGATGTGTTGCGATTACTTAATCTATTTAAAGAATTTCTCTTTTCTTCGGTCTCCGTCATGATTTTTCTCACATGTTCGTAAGGAGATACAGTTTTTGGCATATTCGGAATCTTATGACTAACAGGCATTGGAGAAGTAGGAGCTGAATAATTGTATGGTTTATTAACATTTAACTCATTTTTACAAGGGATTACCGAAGATTTGCTCAATTCAGGGAATTCGTTGTTAAAAGACAGGCTTCGTGCCCTCTTAGGTTGTATTGTTCGCACTTCAGCTTCTTTTTTTGGTGAAATCAGAAACTTTGTGCTAACCCGCTTAATTTCTGCACCAACAGAAGTAGGATTCTCTAGCCCTTGGGGTGCTTTGCATGTTTCAATTTCTTCGACTGGAGATGATATATTTATCAAATGTTCTAAAGAGTGATAGTAAACATCTGGGTACTGCGAATTAGAAGATTCGTTGTGGTTTGATTGTGTATGCACAACTTCATTTACTGGTTTTGGTGGTACTTGAGGTCTTGCAGTGTAGTAAAGTTCATTTTTGTCAATTGCGTATTTCCATGAACTGTGATTGGTTGGATGTTTTACACTTTCTGAAACTAAAGTGCTACTTGAAGAATTATTACTAGATATATCGCGGTATATAATATCATTTTCATATTTTTGAGTGTGATGTGCAGTTACGTTCTCGTAAATGCGCTCATGCTTAAGTTCTTTTGTATGGTTTTGTTTGTCGGTTCGGCCAGTCAGTCGAGCAATTTGATTGCCTTTCGATGATTCTCCGGGCACATTTTTTTCTTTTTGGTTCTTGTTCTTAGATTTATTAGCAAAAAATACGCTTGGAAATAATTTCCGGAAGCTATTGCTTCTTTTTTTATTGCTATCTTCCATGTCTTCAAGCTTTTTCATGTGTCATCTTTATCTGAAATAAACAAAAATTAAGAATTAGCGCTGAACAAATTCTTTAACGTCTACTTTTTTGATGGACAGTGCTTTTTATTCGTTAAAAGGTTTTTGCGGCGAATAATGGGGCACTATTATGTGTCTTATAGAGCTATTGTATCCAGTTAATGGTCTGGATGAAATGGTTACGCTTATTGACAGTATAGAATTATATTCACGTCGTTCCACCGAACCTGAGACCGAGGTTTATTGAACATAAACATCGGCGTCTGGTTACAAAGTCTCAAGGTTACGGGAACACCATTAATACGGCTCAAGTTTTCTGACGTAAACTACAGCCGTATGTTTAATAATAATAATAAACAATAATAATAACACACGCACTCAACATAGCGCCGCACTAGGGAACCCTGTGTCGCGGGTGCCACCGACATGCATATAGACAACCACAAATTACACCCAAACTCACGAGAGAATTAAATGTAGGCCATATAAATATTTTTCCCGGCCCGGGAATCGAACCTGGTACCTCTGCGTGGCAGTCCGTTCGGCCACAGAGGCAGTTTTAATAATGCATATATGTTTAACGTTAAGTGAAAATCAAAGTATTCACGCTTTATTGTTTCTAAAAATTATCATATATGTATATTGTTTAACAAATAACATGCATTTAAAGATTCAGAAACTTCGCAATTGTAATATTTTATTTAAGTAAATGTTGCTTTCAGGCGTTACTTTAATAATGTAAAAGTAAATTAAGCAATGTTCTTAATAGCATTGGGGTTCAGCGATCTAAACTAAATGTAGCCAGAAAGGCCTCAAGTCAATATTACTTACATACAATGCCATTATGATATCAATCGTAGTTCGACAGAAAAAAGAAACATATTTTAACGCCGTTGTGCCTAATATTCGTATTTTTGGAGACCTTTGTCAAATTGTGTCGTACACTTTTGAAGAGTACTTTTACAATAAGTGTTTATTGGTCACAGCTATGGCCGAACAGATCATAAATTATAATATTATTATTTGCCAAGCTTTGGGTCTGGTTAGAAGAGTAGCATTTCCCTAGTGTCAACATGTACATAGCGTTTTGTCTTATTATCCAGAACTTACAAAGTAGGTAGGTAGGTAAGGCCATGATAATAACATGAAACAGATATGAAACTGAAACCCAAGTTCGAGTGTTTCACAATATTCATATTTACTTTTAGAGTGAGTCTCCTATTGCGCTAACTTAGGACATATCGGTAGGTACTCTGATACAGGCAAATCATATTTATTTATATGATATTTATTTCAATGATATTTATTTATTTTTACTTTTTATGATACCCAGTAATGGAACCATAAGGTCGTGCGCCTGGTGGCTTTCAGAGCTTGAATTTATAGATATCTGAGGGGCACTGCCACTGCGCTCGTCACACTGAGACACAAATCGACAAAGATCATGTGCCTATAGTTTCACCAGAGCACTCTACCCTTCAAAACCGAAACACAGTAATGCTCACATTACGGTCTGGCGGCAGAAATAGGTAAAGCAACAATAATAAATATCTTCAAATATCCATGAAAAAAATATAAATTTAGTATTATTATGTCTCTATGTCTGTCTGTGATGATATTAATGACAATTCTGTTTTATTTCTAGATTGTGGCTGGCAAACAATACATTGTGGTACTACATTAGCAAACGTACCTGAAATAAACCTTATTTACATCACAACATATTAATCCTTTTTACCCTCCGGCATGATGTGGTTAGTCATATAGCTGTTTTTGTAGAATTATGATTCGATTCAAAATTGATCCTTTTTTGACTTAATACTTCAAGGATCACATATTTATATAGAAAACTCTAAATTTTATAATGAATTCCGAGTTTTTTGTTAGTGTAATCACATGACATTATTGTGATGACCCCGGTACATTGCGCGGCAGATACGTCTCAGTTCTTTTTAAGCCATCTTCCTGATGAATTATAAAAGTTTTGATATATGCCACTATTCTCGATAGTCATCGCAGAAACGTAAAAACACTTACCTATTTATAATATCCGGATTTTAAATATCTTAACAGGGAGAGAAGTTCGTGTGGCTCTTAATTCTTGCACTACATATTTATTTTAACGATAATAGCCGATAACCACCGAGTGTGGACTTTCTTATCAAAGTTCGGCATTGCTGATAACAAGCTAAGTACGTATAACCGTCCACCTTAGCCACTATCAAAAACACTTCTAAAACATTTAAAAATTTTAAAAATAAATAAACATCGATAACTACTTATAATAATCGCCTAGGTACCACACTAATAAATATATTTAGACAGACCTATCCAACAGACATAACTAATAATTGTTTGTAGCTGCAGTATATATTTCAAATATTTCCAATACACCAGCATCATCTCTGTAGTCTACACATCTTTACGCTAATTCAGACAGGAATGCTGAGATGAGTAATATAGTCAAACGTAGGAAGGTTATGATTAATATGGCAGTATGTATGAACTGGACATAGAAAAGTAATTAATTACGTTGGTATTAAAATCACATATTGTTTTTTTTAAACTAGAAATTGTCACTCAGGTTGATACCCGATTACGAATTGCCATACTTATCATGACATCGCAAGGGTTTGCACGGGCAGATAGCTATAAATATATATATTATTGCGTGGTTGTCTAAAGTTTGCTGCAGCCGATATAATTATATATTAAGGCATCTGCATTAATATTTATTACATTTCCTATCTCTATACATATCTATGTAGAGATAGGAAATATTGCTTACTTTTTTAAACATTAAAACGTGCTTTTTTAAACGCCTTCCTTAAACGCTTTTTTGTTTGAAAAACGTTTAAGCGCATCGACTTTTAAGTTAAAAAATGCTTGCAACGTTGTATTGATAGCGAAAAGCAAGAGTAGACCACTAAAGGTTTTAAGTTTATTTGTACAATACCAGTTTAATTTATAAAATTATTATTCACATTGACGAATTAATTTGTTTAGGAAACATAGATGGCGGAACTTGAAACATAAGCACGATGTAAAAAATCTAATTGTTGAGTATTGAACTGACCAACGCCTACGCATAAATTTAAAAGCGTGTTCATGTGTTTATTTTAAAAAGAAAGCTTTTTTAAGTGCTTTTCTTTTAAACGCCCACCTCTAGATATGTATGTATAATATTTCAGTTGGATGTAGGAATAATTATTTTGGGTGAGCCGCATCATTGGTTTTAAGTTATTTATACAGGGTAACCGGAATAGTCTATTTGTGTTAATAATAGAAAACGGAGATTAAAATAACTGCGTGAATTATCTAGGTAGCTGTATCTAAGCACACAAAACTTCGCATTCAAATACATGTCAAATACTACAAACTATAACATACTGGCGATCGTGACTTTATACACAATCATTTATTAAAACATAGCCGAAATTTGTTTTCAATTCGAATACCTAAGACCATTTTAAAAAGGGCGCTATTAGGTATAGATTTAATTTATAACTATTAGTGAAAACTTCCTTACGTAACAATTAAGTACAGCGGCATAGGCTTATATTTTAATGAACAGAGGTGAAATTAAATTAAATTCATTAAAAAACGACAGCCACAATCACTGGAGTAAATTCATGAGATAATACACGAAAAGTTGAAAATGCGATTTTCTAACTAT